TGTATGTGAGTGTGGTATGTGTGCACATGTATGTGAGTGTGGAATGCCCATGTGTGTGCAGGTGCTTGCACCCATGCACTCAGCAGAGGCCGGTGAGGGTGTGGGTGTCCTGCTCACTCTCCTTATTCTCTTGAGTCTCTCTCTCGTGTTCCCGGACGTAATCTGGCAGCCGCAAATCCCAGAGATTCTCCTGCCTCTGACCTCCACACACTGGGGTTGTAGGAGCCTCCGGTCATGCCTCACTGTCACATGCGTGCTGGTAGCTGAGGTCAGCACAGCAGGTGCCCTCACCCACTGAGCCATCTCTGCAGCCCGGAAGTTGCCCAACTTTAAGGCCTTTCCATGATAAGCCTAACGCCTGGGGTGGAAAATCAGTGTTCTAATTGGAGGTGTGTCTGTATTTCTCCCTCCATCTCATCCTTCCATCTTCCTCTCCGTCTCGCTATCTATCATCTGTCATTCATCTCTCAACACTTGCAGGGGAGTGAAGCAAATAGCTGTGGGCTGGGCTGTATTGAAAGGGGATGGGTTACTGTTCTTGAACTGTGACATTAAGATGGCTCAGTGGGTAAAGGCAGCTGCTGCCAAGCCTGGTGACCTGAGCTTGATCTTCTGGACACATGTGGAAGGAGCAAACAGACTTCTCAAAATCGCTGTGTGTGTTCATATGCACATGTAGATAAATAAAATACAAAGTTTAAGTCAAATGAATTTGAATTAGTAAGTTATTAAGGATTAGGGTTCCCTTTCTTGCTCCCCACTTCTTTGCTTCTTTTCAGAGTTTGTGAATTAAAATCTCATCCTCTGGTGCTGTTCACATCTTTGCCACTGGAGCACACATCTGAAATCTGTGTCCTCAAAACAATTTGCACCCTTTTGAATAGAAATTTCAGAAAATAAATGCCTCACTTCATTAAGAAGACAGTTTTCAATTTTAAATTTTGCAGAGTCTGCAATCACTTCTCCATCAGGCAAGATGGCATAGATGAGCATTTTAGCCCCAGGGGCCATGCCGAACTCCACGGGGATCTCCAAGGTGATGTGGCCTTCCACTGGAGCTGGAGCGACTGGGAAGAGATGGTGATGGGTCAGAATCCTGACAGGAAAACCCAAATGATTACACACAGATCCAGAGGACTGCCTGTTTGTGGAAGACCTTCCTGCTGTGGTCAATTGTTGGCACGCGAATATCTCAGGAGGGCACCGCACACGCACATACATACCCACCAGCACCACATATGTAATTCAAAATGATCAAAAAGAGTCAGTTACTTGAAAATGGGTGTGGCTAGAATGATTTAAGGACCTAGGCTGGCATTCTCCAGATATTTTTGGACAGACACCAGATAGCACATTTTGCTTTGTTGTGGATATTCTGCATGTGAATGCATAGATTCCTCACTTGGGGTGTATCTTGGAGTACTGTGTGTTTTCAGGTGTTACATCTTGAGAATAGATATTTTACCATGTTGAATGACACTCAGTTTGGGAATCTGAAAGTTTTTCCTGAAGGCCATGGTGTGAGTGATAACCTTCACTAGATGGCAGAACCTTGAGTTCCTACTGTGGAGAGAGTTATGGAGACATACAAGCCCCATGGCAGCCTTAGATACTCAGTGGTGAGATCCCACTGGTGAGGATGTGGGGAACTCAGATGGAGACATGGTTCTGGATGAGAAACACTTACATTTGCTGGGTTCCATGTGGTGAGTGTGGCTTCCTGTATGGACGATTTTGCCCTGGGCCATGACCTAAAACAAAAAGGATTTTCCAAGCTTACATCTATATTTTACCAGGCTCTCTTGTAACTGATGAATCCACTGTTTGAGACCCAGGCAGAAACACCCAGCCCAGACCCCAGAGTGTCATGGGACATGGTCAGGAGATAAGAGGATTCTTTGTATTTCTCAGCTTGGAGTGAAAACTCACCAGGTAGTAAAAATTGAGCTCTCTCAGCAACAACAAGACCGGCCCCTTCAGAATAAAATGTGCCTGAACTGTGTGAATCTGGTTGCAGGGCAAGATGCCAGGCTCTGTCTTAAGGTAGACATAGCTCTTGCTCACGGTATAAACTTTGTAGGCCTCATGCCTTGCTTCTGCGTATTTTTCTTCCACGCAAGGGAAATGAAAACACCGATTTCCTTTCTTGTGGTAGACCTGAAGAAACAACAAATACTGTGCTGTAGATTATCTGCTAGGCAGAGTCTTTCATCTGAGATGAATCTGCCTAATTTCAGTGATAGAATATTTTGTACATCTTAGTAAAATGGAAGGGAGGTTCATGAAATGAATTGTCTCACACCCCAAATTTTCCAAATTGAGGGAAATATTTATACCAATGAGGAGCGGAAAGGCAAGAATATTATCTTTTGAGACAAAGAAAGTATTTATTGAGCACCTAGTACATATGAAAGAATGTTTATAGATAGGAATTTTAGTGCATAATAAATTTTCAAAGTGATGGGCTGACTGAAACATTTTCATATATTAATATAATGTACCCTGATCCCATTTATCCACCGTACTACCCAGCCCTATGTTTCCTCCTGACTCTCTTCCTTCTTGCTAGATCCTCTCTGCTTTTATTTCTGTCCTTTCCCTAGATTCCACAAATGAGGGACAACATGCAAAGCTTTTTTCTCCCAGTCTTATCATTTGCTATTGGTTGACAATTTCTAAATCCACCCATTTCTCTATAGACAAGACGATTGTTTTCTAAATATCTGAGTAAAAGTCCCGTGTGCACATATTTCCATTCTTCTTTTCCCACTCCTCCACTGCTGGGCACTGAAGTCGGCTCCACAGCCGGCTGTGTTGAGCACTGCTGAGGTCAGCATGGTGATGGAGACGTGTCTATCATATGTCAGTGTTGATGCCATGGGCATGTACACGGATGTGGTACCCCTGGCCTGTACACTGGTTTCATTTCAGGGTTTTGTAGAAGTTCTGATAGTCATACTCATGTTCCCTCACAGCAGCTGTGCATATAGGTTCCTTAATTCCCTTAGCCTTGCCACTGTCTGTTTTCCTGATGATTGTCATTTTGATTGGTGAGATGGAATTTCAACACAGTGTTAACCTGCATTTTCTCGTTAGCCAATTGTATTGAGCATCTTTGCATGTGTTCCGTGACCATTTGTAACTGGTGTCTTGAAAATGGACTATCTCTTGCATCTACTGAGATTATCATGTGATTTTTAAATCTTGATTCTATTTATATGCTTTCACTTTCAATTGTGAAGCTGTCCCTGTATTCTTAGTATGAAATCAGTTTGATCATGGTACATGATTTGTTTAATGTGTTATTGATTCTGACATGGAAGTATTTCAGTAAGGATTTTCTTTTTATGCCAGTTGGGTGAATTACTCTGAGGTTTCTAGATACTTTATCCTCATCTAGTTTTGGTATTAGAGTTATTCTAGACTCATAGAAGGACCTAAAAAAGTATTCCGTCTTCTGAAGTTTTACACAATAATATGTCTTTTTGAAGTTTTGTTCAATTCAGTTATGAGTTCTTCCCAGTGTCAATTCTTTATTGTTGAGGGCTCCTTTACTTATTTCTTCAATTCTATTTTTCATTACTGATCTGTTTAAATTTTTTTTAAATACCCTTGTAGCTCACCTTTGGAAGAATATAAATGTCCAGAAATTCATTTGTTACTTCTGGATTTTCTAATTTATTGGAATGAGAGTTTTCAATGTATTCTCTAAGCATCTCGTGGATTTCATAGTATGTGGTGTTATAGCCGCCTCTACTATGCTAATTTGGGTTTAGATAAGAATTTATCTTTTCAATCAATTTATCTAATCAATTTATCTTTTAAAAGAATCAACTTTGGTTTCATTGTACTTTTTAGTGTTCTTTCTGTCCTCTTCATTACTTTCAGCTATAGTTATTATTTCTTTCCTTTCATTAATTTTTGTATTTGTCTTGTCTTATTATGTTAATAATTTGGGGTACGGCATAAGGTCTCTTATTTGATCCATACCTGTGTATGTAGACTAGGGATTCATAGCTTTTAGAATTGCATGCATGATAGTCCATAGAAATTCTGATGTGTTTTTATTGAACTTAGAAATTAAAAAATTATCTTTCTGATATTGCAGTTTGCAAAGGGACATGCTTTCAACTTCTTCTAGAAGCTAGATTACAATTTCCACCATTTAAATCTGTAGCCACAAGTGTGTGTAAGACACCATTGGAATTCTTATACCCACAGTGGTTCTCAGAGGGGCCTGCTGAGCCAGCTAGGGGAAAAGGCTGAAGGGCCTCAGAGACCTCTGGTAGGAAGTCATGTAGTTGGGTTCTCTTCAAATGGCTCCCCCTGTTGACATATCTGACTAAGCTCTGATATAGAGGGAACCATTGGCTAGTCCCAGTTGACTTCAGATTGCCATCTCCTATGTTTTTGTATTTCCGCATTGCATTGCTAGTATTTGATGAATCATTGTGTTTCTGTCTGTCTCTCTGTCTCCTTCTCTCTACCTCTTTTGTGTGTGTGTGTGTGTGTATGTGTGTGTGTAAAGCAAGAACTATTGTAATGTCAATCATATTCACTTACACAATAAATAAATGTCTCTTGTTTTAGAAAATGGGCACAACATAGTTAGATAATGAATCTGAGGAAACACAACACCAGTCCTTGCTTGAATAGATAAAAACAGAGTTTTAATCATTTTGGCTTGAAGGTCCTGATTTGTAATGTATAAAAATGAAATGAAGTAAAAAAGACTATGGAAAATATTATGTTAAGAAGTATGTGTGCTCATAATTCTGTTAATGATCAGAAACCTATTCTATTTTGCCCTAAAATAAGAAAGTTTGGCCTGGAATTGTTTTTTCATTAAAGGACACATTACTGAGTCCAAGCTGTTACACAACCTCTCCTTGTGTCTTATGCCCTCACTTTTGACTTACTTTGATAGTGAAGTAAGAACCCACAATGCCGGTGGTGTTGATGGAGAATTCTGCCAGGCCATGTTGATCAGTGATAGCACTGGTGTAGTCAGCTTCATGTAGTTTGATGAAGACTTGCTCATTTGGGAGAGGAATGTCGTTGAGATCCACTAGGCGAACCTAAATTGAACAAGAAAGAAAAGTATAGCCCAGGAATGGTAATACTATACAGATTATAAGAGAAAAACCTGCTTCAGTATTGTATAAATATCCCAAAAAATGCACCAACTAATTCAGCATGCAAGACATTGCTTTACACAAATCTCTAACACTTTGAGATCTACACCAGTGCTGTGAAAGCACAGAGTCCAAGGTATCACATTCTTAACTCCATAATAAATGCTTTGTAGGTGCTTTGTAGGTACCTGTTAGTCATAAGAAACCATTGACAGATCCAGAATGGACTAAGGGAAGTAGATGCTTTGACACAATCACAAGATACAGTTGTTGGGGACCCAAGGCTAATGGAGAGCATGGATTTATCATGAATATGTAGCACATGTGGCTTCATTGAAACACAGTGACATCTTGGGGTTTACAGTTGTCAAGTCCATAACTTTTATAAATAAAATTATGCTACCTATATTTTAGATTCTGGGCTTCTAGACAGCCTTTCTAAATCTTCAGCTTAGTTCTGGGAATTGAAGTCATGCACTTAAGTGTGTGAAGTACAAGCTCCCCCACTAGGTTACACATCTTGCTTTGCAACCAGTGATGTCAGACAAGTTTAACATTGAGCAGAATGCCCTTGGTTGAGGAACCACCATACAGCTCAAGCATCTGTGAACTAAAAGCACTTTACTTTCATAAGGAATGGAATCCCAGGTCTAAAGTGTGAGTCCACTTTCACAAATACTAGTTTGGTTGTGGTACTTTCAATTTTAGTTTTTCCAGATCCACTGAACTCGAATCCTGAAAAAGAAATTAGGAACAACTTAGGGAAGTTCAATGCAGTTAGGTTATTGCTTGCTTTCTACATCTGTTTTCTGCATCCTCTCAATCACCATCTTGGTGAGAATAGGTATCAATTTTCACAGCTTCCTTCTTTATATTCTGAGTTTACTTACACACCTGTCCCTTCTTCTATAACCTTTGCATTCACACGAATATCCTCCATGCCATAATATCTTTTATTTATTTGGAACACAGTGATGTTTTCTTCTTGTGTGATGCAGCCATTTTTGTCCAGCTGATATGCAAGATATAAACAAGGTAATGTGATAGTCAACTCAAACCCACATGTGAGGATTTCTTTTGGAAAAACAAATCCTTACTGCTGTACAGCGTGGCATTTTGCTATAAGCATGGGACTCAGCTTATTTTATTAACATCTTTAATTAGTATTAATCTATTTCTACTACAAAGATACTAAGATAAGTAGCATCAGAACATGCAATAACATCATAGGAATAAGCAAATAATTAACAATAACCCTAAATATAAATGATTTTAACTCTTTAAGAAGCATGTCTAGCTAATTAGAGGAGGGAAACCTCAAAATTAACAGAATTAATATGTACAGGAAAAAATTACACAGGCATTAAGAAATTTGGAATATTTTAGGAGAATACCTCAAAAACCTGACTGAATTTATAAAACCTAAAATAAAAAGAACAGATTTTTACCTTCATCCAAACCACAAGTGTTAAGCCAGGAAGAAATGGACAACGTTGACAGTCACAGAGACCTTAGAGGACAACCCACAGCTGCCACCATTCTCCTGAAGCAATATAGCTCCTTACTACATTGCAGAGATTTGTCGTTACCCTTACAGATACGTGTAGATCTCACCTCATCAAAGACTTATTTTTCAATAGATAGAAACTGTTATTGAGATCCACACTCATCAAAATGCAGAGCATTGCCTATGATATGTGCAGAGAAAATCATTAAACAAGGATCAGAAAGATTATAAAAGTCCAGAAAGCCTGTTGCAAAAATAGTGTCTTTCAGACACAACAGGAAAAACACACCCATAGAGTTCTCAACAATGTGGTTGCCTGAACAAGACTCACACAAGGGTAGAACCAGTTAACCTGCCAATGTGGTGAAATGGGGAAATTGCCCAGAGCCCCACTCCTAGATCAAGAGCTACAGCTACAGGTGATCATTGGCTGCTGAGAACGACTGAGGTGAATGTAAAGGTCTGTGGGAGTCAGGAGTGGCCTGGCCCTGCAGGTAGCACAGAGGTCTCCCAGGCTGTTGCAAAGTACAAGTGCCATCTCCCATAAGGAAGGTTGTACTGACTGGGAAACAGTGCTCAGGATGAAGGTCTAGAGGGCGAGTCTGGGTAGATTCGGGTGTGGTCTGGCCCTACAGATGCAGATTAGCAGGGAGTTACCTACATCCGTCCCCAGCCTGTTGGGTGGTAAACAGGTAAACATCTCCTCCGTTGAGGAGAACACCAGAGTGTTTGACATTCCCGGTTTCTCTAACGCTTGTCTGTGAGCTCAGGACCAATGCTCTGCACACCTCACGTGCTGTGGGTGAGACTACAGCCTAGTATAAAAGCTCTTCGGAAAAGGAAAGGTCAAAGTACCACAAGGTCAGCGGTGGGGAATAAGGAAACAAAACCTGGGTCAGCATCCCCACACCTGTTCACAAGCACGCCTGTCATCTCTGTGACTCACAAACAAGCGAGCCCATCAGCTGATGAATGGGTAATCAGAACTGAAGAGGAGAATTTATGGGCATAGAGATGATCACCTTTCACCAGATTTACCAGAACCAGACACACAAAGGTGCATGTTTTCTGTCATATGTGAGGGTAAAAATACAAAATGACAGCAAAATGGAAGTTGTTCTCTTTGGGAAGAGGAAGAGTCTGGCAGGAGGAGGGATGGAGAGAATTCGGTAGGTAATGAATGAGGAGATCAAGTGTATGATACACATGATTGAATATATTGCAAGGAAGCCCATGGTTTTTCACAATTTACTTACATTTCATATGTGCTAATTAAAATATACTTTCAAAGAACAGTTTATGAGACATGAAAGTAGAGGGCGCTATATAGGAAGAGGAGAAGGACACATGGGAGTGAGGACACAGAGAGCAGAGGTGGCAAGGGGACAGGGGAATATGGTTAAAATACATGATTCTCATGTATGAAAATGTCATAAACCTCCCATTTTGTACAATGATTTACACAAAAATAAATTTGGTGGTCAGCTCAAGTTGTTGAAATGTCCCTTTAAGGACATTTGTTCAACCATGTTCATAGCAGCTTTATTTGTAATAGCCAGAACTTGGAAACAACCCAGATGTCCATCAACGGAGGAATGGATACAGAAACTGTGGTATTTTTACACAATGGAATACTACTCAGCAATCAAAAAGGAAGAAATCATGAAATTTGCAGGCAAGTGGTGGGATCTAGAAAAGATCATTCTGAGTGAAGTATCCCAGAAGGAGAAAGACAAACTTGGTATATACTCGCTTATATAGACCTACAAGACATGATAAACATAATGAAATCTACACACCTAAAGAAGATAATCAAGAAAGTGGACACAGGCGAAGGTGATTAATCCTCATTTAGAAAGACAAATGGGATGTGCATTGAACTTATGACAGGAGTCTATCACAAAAGGCATCTGAAAGACTCTACCTAGCAGTGTTTCAAAGCAGACACTAAGACTCATAACCAAACCCTCGGCAGAGTGCAGGGAATCATATGAAAGAAGGGAAGTTAGTATGATATGGAAAGGATAGGAGCTCCACAAGGACCAAATATATCTGGGCACAGGGTCTTTTCTGAGACTGACACTCAACCAAGGACCATCTATGGATATAACCTAGAACTTCTGCTCGGATGTGGCCTGTGGTAGCTCAGTAACCAAGTAGTTTTCCAAAGTAAGGGGAACACGGACTATTTCTAATAGGATCTCAAGGGCAGGCTGTTTGACCCCCACCCCAGGGGAGGAGCAGTCTGATAGGCCACAGAGGAGGACTTTGCAGCCAGCCCTGAAGATACCTGATAAAACAGGGTCAGATGAAAGGGGAGGAGGTCCTCCCCTATCAGGGGACTTGGAAAGGGGCAGGGAGGAGACCAGGGAGGGAGTGTGGGGTTGGGGAGGGAATGAGGGAGCGGGATACAGCTGGGACACAGAGTTAACAAAATGTAACTAAAAAGAAAAATAAAATAAAAATAAAAAAATTAAAAAAAAAAAAAAAAGAAATGTCCCTTTAATTATAGTGGGTCCTAGGACTATCACTCTGTCAGTGAGGGGCTCCTGGGAAGTGCACACATGCCTGGCTGGTGTTCCATCACTGAGCTACACCCTGAGGTCCAGAATATCCTCTTTCAATGCCTGGATATTCATTTCCTCTCAGCGGTGCTGTATGCATTGCTGTGTCAGTTAACCTGGATATTAAAAATAGGCCTGTGAACAGTTTTCACTCACCTGGTAACTGACTTCTTTGCATCCAGGCTGTTCCCAATGGTTGGCGTAAGGATATTTAAGGCATATACTTATATTTACATGTCCTGGGACAGGCTTCCCGTAGGTGTATCTGTCACAGGATAAATGCACACAGACCAGGAGTGTTTCTGAAGCAGAGATTCACTGTCTTCCCACCCATAGTCCACACTGCCAACTTGAAACTGACTCTGTCTAATTTGTAATGACAGCAAATACAGCCCATTATTACCACTTGACACTTTCTAACTATATATGTTAAGAATTTAGCCCCATTAAGAACCTTTTGGAGTTGTGTTAACCGCCCCCCACCTTGATGTTCTAAAAAGATTAAGTAACCAAATCAGGGTCCTCAACTGATGGAGCTGAGATGAATGGGAACATGGGGAAATTACTATTTTTACAAACCTCAGTCTTTGGCCTTCTTTCTTATCCTTTTTTCTAAGCATGATCATTTTAACAACAAGCAATGTGAGCTAAGGTGTGCCTCTTCTGTCTGATTTGGGCACATTTGCAAATTTCTTTAGGGCTTTGACTTCTTGGGATCCCAGATTGAGATAGCAGTTTTAGTTGCTGTAATACAAGATCCTTATTTATGAGGTATAGAAATGCAAGGAGAAAACCCAGATGCCTAACATTTAAACTTGGGTGGCAGTGGCTGGAGCTGGAGCCAGACTGGGAGCCATAATTTAGTGTCTGTGTTCTCTTTACACGGGTCAGTGTTTCTGACCTTTCCATCTCCAAAAACAGGGACTCTTTAGTGCTTTATACAATTGATTTTATCATTGGTGTAATGAGAATTACCATCAGCAACACATGCAGTGAGTGACTGAGCAGGAAGTGATGCTCATTAAGGGACACAAAGAAGAAAGGAACACCACAGGGGCCATTCTAGGTGGGAAGGACACAGCCTTCACATTTCTACAAATTCTATAATGAGACATTGTCCCAGGTGATTCCGTCTCCAAGTACATCCTTAAAGTTAGAAGAATTGAAAGATATAACTCACACTGCACATGCCGTCACATTTAGTTTTTCTTCTTGCATATAGATGCCCTTTGGGACCTTTAGTTGAACTTTAAATCTGGGAAGCACTGTTGGGAAAGAGAGGAGAACTTCTGGGTGAATAATGACTTTTCTAGTTGCCTAAATAATCAGTCTCTGCCCATAAATGGTGATTACACATTGTAAAGCTGAGTCCACCATCTAAATAATGTTAGAACATTATTTAAATATTATTATTATTAATATTATAAATAATATTGTATTATTATTAAATATAGTGGTTATGGATTATATCATTTCTTGCAAATCACTGAGGTATCTACTTAAATGAGAGAAATCAAGTAATTTACTCCTGAAATCCCAGAACTTGTTGGAAGTTCCATGTTGCTAGGTGGATAGCCATAGCTTCATTGAGATGAAACCCAGCTTAGCACATTTGGACCTCAGTTTGTTCAAAAGAATTCATCCTGTGATAAGTAGAAACTTCTGACACCAGCTTTCCTTTTGTGGCCTTCCCAAGCATACCGAATTCCTCCACGGTGAAGGAGTGCTCTTTCTTCACTCCTGATTGTTTTTGTATCACTATCTTGTAGGAGCCCAGAATGGGCTCCAGAGACAGACTGAAGGACAGTTGCTTAAGCCCGTTCTCTGTGCTGATATTCTGCCACTGCATAATTCGGTTCGTTTTTGGATCCTGTGAAACAGGTTGCAAGTTTTCTAAGTCAATAAAGTATTAAGAACAACAACACATCTAAGACCACTGTGCTCATGGTGGAAGTGTTTGGGAGCCTGCTAATATTCTTCGAGGGGAGAGGGAAATAAAGGAAAGGTGGGGCATAACCAACCAGTTATCTCGAATGGCAGAAGGCTGCTGACCCACACTAGGGCTACAACACCCCAGCATCAAGGTACTTTCAGTGGATTGAGTTCTCTCTGAATATGAACACTGAAGCTTCTTACCTCAATGTAAACCACAGGAAACTGAAACAAAAGGGAAAGCAGTGTTAGTTCAGAACAGAGGGTGGTGACCCCTTTGGCAAACCTGACTTCAAAACATTATGATTAAATCAGTAACTAAATTACAGTTATGAAGTAGCAACAAAAATAATTTTATGGTTGTGGGTCACCACAACATGAGGAAGTGTATTAAAGGATCACAGCATTAGGAAGTTTGAAAACCAATGGTCTAGAAATTTCACACAGACAGCAGATTGAATAGATTTATAGATTGGTCTTTAGGACAGAAGTTTCAGTTAGAATTGGATGAACTTAATCTCTATTACAAAGCCAATTGCAAGCCAATTAACCACCACAGAGAAATTTTAAGTATTTGTTATAGAACTACCTGAGTTGTACCAATCACTCAATCGATAGGGACGCAGAAATGGAATTGTGGGACAGTATCATTAAGATTTCTCTGATGTGCTGTGAGAAATACCCTGAGCCTTTAGAGTCTGGAAATTATAAGTTTACTGTTTAAATCATGTATATTTGCAGGGTGAAATGGAATTATTAGTTTTAAGTGTATCTGTTGGCATATTTTTCATGTGTCCAGTTTACCCTTGTTCATTCGAATGCTGATTTCTCTACCCCACTATCGGGTATCCAGACATAGCATTGTGACATTAATTCTATGCACCTCCTGTCTCAAGTTGCATAAACATGCCACTGTTTGTTCTCTGTATTGCCAATAAAAGCCAACTTGCCAATGCTGAACAGTACACAGAATAGGGTGGGGCCTCCTGGTCTGATGAGGGGAAGAGAAAAGACAGGAAGAGAGGATGGATCCAAGGGGAGAGGACCAAGAAACATCAGGAGAAATGAACTAGACCTAGAAGGTGATCAAAAAGCAAGTAAAATTGGGAAATCTGATTGGGAGAAAGCTATACTAGCTTGGAGTTTTAGGATGGGGTAAATTTGCAGAGCATATCGCATTAAGCTAATAAGATATTTAAATAAATCCTAGTCTCTCTGTGTGGTTATTAGGGTATATAGCTCATTAGGGAGTAACTGCTGCTTTACTAAAATATAAATCAATAATAAATATTAGTAATTTGTAATGTATATACAGTCGAATTGTGTAACTTGTGGGTGTCCTGGGCAAGGCACTGGATTCCCATTCTTCATCTAATGGGCTACAAAGGGATTAGCATGTGTCCTCAAGATGCACTGCTTGAAGAACTTTAACAGATGCCTGACTGTTGCCAGAGTAATATAAAGGAAGAAAGGCCTCAATAGCTGCTCTTGCTTCAAAGGAGAATTGCTGCTGACCAAGCCAAGAGGGGCAGTTTCAGAGGTTTTCCAGCAGACATGGTTCTGATTGATTAGACGAAGTCTACACAGTAAAGACAGACACTGACAAGGTCGTTTAAGATTCTGTCGTAACTGAGCTGTCTGCAGAGGCAAACTTATTTTAGGTGACAACAAGCTTAAAGAACACAGCCATTTCTAGCAGCTGATAAGGGAGCACTTAATGGCAGTTGTAAGGGAGATTTAGTGATAAAGGACTGGTTTCTGAAAGTACGGAAAATTAGGTCATGACAATGGATGATGAAAGTGTGGTACACGTGTATGCGATGAGGGTCTATTCAGCTATAAAAAGTGACATCACAAAATTTTCAGGCAAATGGAGAAAACTTGAAAAAAATTATAATTGTAAGCCAGGCTCAGAAAGACAACTGCTGTGTGTTCTTTCTTATCTGTGGTTCATCACTGCAGACATGTAGAGTTATGTGTTTGACCTGGAGCACCCGTGGAAACAAGGAAAGAATAGGGTAACTGGGGTGGGAACTTCCTCCAGGTAGGAGAGATGCTTGATGGAGGTGACATTAAAGCACAGGTGGACTCAAGCAGGGATGGTGTGTGGATGGGAGAGAAGAGAGGGGAGGGTGGGAGGGTTAGCCAAACCTAAGGATCTATGAAAAAGCTATGTGGAAACTTACTGCTTTATAAACTGATTAAGAAACATAAGGTAAAACACTCTGTAATGTGACCTGGGTCCAGGACACTAAGCACCCTCCATTTTCTGCTGATCTCTCACTGTGTGCCTTGTTTCCTGACCCTCTGAACTAACTGGCACTTAGGTTCTTCTTCTCTTTCCTGCTCTCACTCTCACATTTAGGTTCTGAAGAAGAGGAAGAGGGTTTGAATTTTGTAAGATCAGGATGAAGCAAGAAAGAAAGAGGCAGTCTTTCACTTAACAGACTGAAAATATCACTTTAGCCAGGCAGGCCTAATGGCACACACTTTAATACCAGCAATCAGGAGGCAGAAGCAGGCTGAGCTCTATGAATCAAGGCCAGCCTGGGCTATATAGCGCATTTCAGGCTAGCCAGGATTACACAGTGAAATCATGTAAAAAAATTAAAAAAGTCCTTTGACATTTCAAAGTAAGCAAATCTGTGAAGTAAGAAATTTTTACTTGGATACTGAGCTGTCATGGGCTATATCTGAGCAGGGGTTCTAGGCTATATCGATGAACCATCTTTGGTTGGTTTATCAGTCTCAGAAAAGACCCCTGTGCTCAGATATTTTGGTTCTGTTGCTCTCCTTGTGGAGTTCCTGTCCTCTCCAGGTCTTAATATCTCCCCCAGTATTTCATAAGATTCCCTGCACTCTGCCCTAAGTTTGGTTTTGAGTCTCAGCATCTGCTTTGATACACTGCTGAGTAGAGTCTTTCAGAGGCCTACTGTGGTAGGTTCCTGTCCTGTTTCCTGTTTTTCCTGTCCATCCCATTTGTCTTCTGAGCTGAATGGCTGGCTCTTTGACCAATCCCTGTCCTTCTGAGTGGGAAGCAGCCTTGCCAGGCCACAGAGGAGGACAATGCAACAAGTCCTGATGAGACCTGATAAGCTAGGGTCAGGTGGAAGGGGAGGAGGTCCTCCCCTATCCATGGAATTGGAGAGGGGTATGGGAGGAGATGAGGGAGGAAGGGTAGGATTGAGAAGGAATGAGGGAGGGGGCTACAGCTGGGATAGAAAGTGAATAAACTGTAATTAATATAAAAAAATTAAGTTCATACATGGAACACAAAAAACAATAAATACTTAATTAAAAAATAAATAAACAAATAAAATGTACATTCAAAGTTTGCTCATCAGTGCCGGGAGAGCACTGTGTCTGAGAAGCGGGACAGCACTCTCCATGCAGCGACCAGGAGACTGAAGTCTGGGCCCTAAAACTACAGTGATCTTGTTTCCCAGGTGAGGGGAGGCTCCCACAGCATGGGAATTGGTCGGGTCCACTCTTGGGCCACACAGCCAGAACCCGGAAGAGATCCCGGGTAATGCGGCTTTGTGTCTCGGGCCAGAGCCACACGCCTGCATGTCCCGATCACTTTCCCAAGATGATCGGTGGGCACAAGGGTGCCAGAGACTGAGAGTCCCAGTCTCAAGAAAACCCCACGGGGAAGGAAAGTTGCGAGTCTGATCATGGGTCACCCAGTTTTTCCCTGGAAGGTCTCGCTGACCGCGGGTACACACCACCATCACAACTGAGCTCCCGCCGCGCAGAGAGCAGCTGCGCGCCCAGCTCACTGGTACAGATGAGCTGCGTGCCCCAGTGCAACAGAGACTGAGAATCCCTGTCCGGAGAGGGCCCCACAGGGAAGGAAGAAACCGTGCTGCTTGGGTCACCTAGGCTTTGCCTGGGGAAAGTCTCGCAGACCGCAGATCACAAACAGGCGAGTATGCCCAGCCATCACAGATCCGGGCCCAAGCAGGGAGCACAGAGTTATTGGGAACCCAGCTACTGCAGACTAGCAGGCGGGCGCACGCTCTGCCAGCCCAGAGGCCTACTTTGTACCAACTACTCCTTACAGACAGAACTGTGTGCCCCAAGACACCAGAGTCTTAGAGTCACTGTCTGGAGAAACCCTCACAAGGAACAAGGAACAAAGCAAAGGGGATGGACTTAGGCAAACCAGTATATCCCCGGAAAAGGTCCCATAGGCTGGCCCAACCCAGGGAACTGCTGTGCCCCAGATAGCCTGCTGTTACCAGGAGAGCAGTACTCACCCGCCACAGATTACCTCTTGGGTTCTGGGGCACAGAGCCCCAACCTCAGACCTACAAAAGACCAGGAACCCTTAGATCAACCCCCAGACACTGCTCCAAGGGGCAACCAGTTATCCCTAACAAAACCGACCAAGCCACAGGACACACAGGTTACAGCAGCTGATCACTAAATTTACAGCAAGAAACCCAGAAGGAGGGCAGCTGTCTCCAGGACTTCTCCCGGTGAGAGGAGAGCCCTCTCAACTAATCAGGACCACAGTTACCACCCAGGTCTCTATGCCTGAGGTGAGCTGTAGCAACTCCTGAAAAACACCGGCCATCCAGTGACTATACCCAAAAAGCTGAGAAGGCTTCCTTCAGGAAAAACCATCTTCCTGCCAAAGGGATTCTCTCCACCACAGGAGTCCAGGAACAACCAGAAACTAACTTCAAACACCCAAGATAGCCCAATGGGTAGAGGACAGCATAAAAGTTCAACCAACAAAAGCCAGAGCAATATGGCATCTCCAGAACCCAGTTATCCAGGGGCAAATAGCCCTAGACACCCCAGCATAATTGAAATTCAAGAAGATGACCTAACATCTATGCTCATGAAGAAGATAACAGAGGAAACAAATAAAATACGAAAAGAAATAGAGGAAGCTGCAGCCAAACAGTTTGTGGTGGTCTTTAGAGAGGAAATGCTTAAATCACTGAATGAAATAAAAGAAACAGAGGATTGTTCAAACAAACAGCTGAAGGAATTGATGGAAAAACATGAAAATACAGTCAGACAGGTGAAGGAAACCAACAAAATGGCTCGAGACCTGAAGATAGAATTGGAAAAATTAAAAAAAACAACACACAAAAGGAAGAAATTGTGGAGAGAAAGAACTTAGGGAAGAAAGCGGGAACTACGTTAACATAACCAATAGGCTACAAGAAATGGAAGAAATAATCTCAGGTGTGGAAGATACAATGGAAGAAATAGATGTATCTGTCAAAGAAAATGTTAAATCTAAAAAATTCCTGACACAGACCGTTCAAGAAATTCAAGACA